CAAAGCCCAAACCACACCCACTGCCGTGGAGTCCATTCTGACCCACAGCGCCCCTAGAGGACAGAGTGGAACTGCCCACAGGGTCTCCAAGGCTGTCAATTCTCACGGAAGCAAACTGGCTCTTGTTTCTCCCACAGAGCAGCTAGTGGTTTCAAACCACCTAACTTTTGGTTAGCAGCAAACGCTTTAACCACAACCTCACCTGATCTCCTTATCGATAAGCCAGGAGGTAGTGCCTAAGGCATCTGACAGCTAGCCAGGAGGAGGTTGGTGGTTCAAATCCACCAGCCACTCCGCGGAAAGAAGATTGGGCAATCTACTTTTTGTGGAGAGCGCCATACCTACTGGAGGTATGTAGTGGTGAGTGACTAATAGAGCAAGGCTCCCAAAAATAGGTCATGCTTTCATATGTACCTGAAACTAGGTTGAGCCCTGCTCTTAGGACACCACCGCCCATGTTTTCCCCTGTGTTGTAGGTAAGACGTGGCAAGTGCGGTAGAGCATAACCTTTAAGTAAACCTAGATATACGTAAGCCAATCTATGGGGAAAATATTTATCTTAGAACAAATCAGTTTTAGGTACAAACTAGGAAGATGAAAACAGGAACAAGGTGAAAGGTGGCCTGAGTGCCTCGGGAACAAGGAAGTTGGCTTAAATTTGTAACATGTTAATTCTGCAACATTTCCCCCATTATGTTTGTATATAAGCTTGAGAAGAATCATAATAAAATTTGACACTGCTTTGCAATGGCTCTGAGTGTTCCTCCCGTCCCCACACTGCCTTTCTTTTCCTTTTAACCCATTCTCTTACCCCCGTTCTTGAATTGTTGTGCCGGCCGCAACAACTTTCATAAAGATTTACCACCTTGGAAGCCCAAAGGGGGTTGCTGTGAGTTGCAGCCAACTCTATGGCAGTAACTTTGGCTTGGTTTTTAGTTTTGTCTTGAAGGAAACAGATATTTTTTTTTTGGTTAGGGGTCAGAGGCAGGTAGTGGTGAACCCTAGAAAAATAATGGAGGTACTGTTACCCACAAAGTTCTGGGTTCACCTGCCCTGTATGACTAAAGCCAATAAAGATACACTGAGGTGAACAGAAGGCATGGCTCTTATTTAAGGTCACTGACTAGCTGAGACAGGGAAATTCCCCCAATCTGTCAGCCTGTAAGTGCTCTTTAAGCTGCTAATTTATAGAGTGAAAATGACATCATAAGCTTGTTATACATACAACAGCAGTGAGGGATGCAGAGATGCGTCATTAGCCTATCTCATTGTAATGTTAAATCTCCACCCAGGGGTGTGCGATTCAGTGTGCAAATGTTGCCTTCATCCAGTCTCAGCCTGTGGCCAGGTCAGCAGCTAGTCATCAGTGGTGTAAAGGCCTTCCTCTGGTCTGTAACTGCCTGCCATCTGGTTTTACTCAAAAATTACATTTCTACTCTCCTTATCTCATTGGGAAAGGGGCTCTGGTGGTTCAGTTCCTAAGGCATCGGACTGCTAACCAGAAGGTTGGAAGTTCAAACCCACCAGCCACTCTGGGGAAGGAAGATGGGGCAATCTACTTCTAAAGATTTACTTTACAGTAAATCTGGGAAACACAAGAAGGGTTGCTATGAGTCAGACTCAACTTGATGGCAGTGAGTTTGGTTTGGCTTTATCTTACTGGGAGGCTCTGGTGGCATAGTGGTTAAAGCACACGCTGCTAACTAAAGTTAGTGGCTCCAACCCACCAGCCACCCCTGGGGAGAAAGATGAGGCAGACAGGTTCTGGAAAGATTGACAGCCTTGGAAACCCTGTGGGACAGTTCCACTCTGTCCTCTAGGGATGCTGTGATTGGGAATTGACTCCAAGGCAGTGGGTGTGGTTGGGGCTTTGCTTCTGTGAAGACTGACAGCCTGGGAGACCCTGTGGGATAGTTAGTTCCATTCTGTCCTCTAGGGGCGCTGTGGGTCGGAATGGACTCCATGGCAGTGGGTGTGGTTTGGGCTTTGCTCCCCCTTAGACTGACAGCCTGGGAGACCTTCCAGGGTGGCTCTACCCTGTCCTAGAGTCAGAATCTAGAGGACTAATAAGGTGTCTATTAAAAATGTGCGTGCAGCTGGCCCCAGAGAAGGCCCCTGGGTGAGCAGGAGGATGAGAAACAGAAGGGGTAATGTTCAAAGAGAGACCTTGTGAATAACTTTGTAGCTGGGCTAGGTATGATTAGTTGCTGGTTTACATTCTCAGGCCCAAACTGAAACCTCACACCCTAGCTCTCCCACTATTTCTATTAGCCCCCTGTAAATCTGTAAATAAAGCAGAGACTAAGTTAGTTAAAATAGACAGACTGCAAATGTAAAGGAATATTAGCCCAACAGGATACTTTGTTAAGCAACTCTCAGGATGTAACTACTTCAGAATGCAGCAAATGAGCTTAAAGCTTACTGTCACAAAGCCTTTGTCACTTTCAGCATGCTTCCTCCCCCTCCCCTCAGGCCTGTGAAAAGGAATCACCTAATCTTTCCCACAGGAGTTACAGCTTGAAGTGAAGCTGGGGAAATGGGGGAGGGGGGCTGACCAGGAGGGAGGGAGTAACCAGCCTGCCAGGAGCCTAGGGCAGAAGCGCCAGCGCTCTGGTCATCAGAGAGAAAGCCCAAGAGGTGGGAGGGGCAGCCATGCATGACATATCATTGACTACACTGGGGATGGCAGATTTGACAGGGACACCGGGCAGCAGATTCCTGCAAGGTATGCGTCTCATCCTTGGGTACTGAACCATGTATTCACATTCAGCCCACAAAAATCCTTTCCAGCCCTCCAGGAAGCAGGAGACTCATGAAACAAGGGATCAGTACAGAAGCCTCTGGCTTTTATAACACCCCCCAGGCCAGCAGGTGCAAGCTGCAAGCAGAGGTATATTTCACTAGAAACTAACCTTGTAAACTGGGCAGGCTGAAAATCTCAGTGTGGTACTTTAACTGGTAGACTGGGGACAATCACTGGCAAGCCCCTAACTTCGGGGAAACAGTGCCTGCCAGTGTCCAGTGGGTCACTCCCAGCTGAAGCCTGTCTGTGTTCTGAAATGGGGAAGGAGCCGACAGTGTTTAGACCAGGGCGGGGTCCACCCACTAGGGGCAGACACTGTTTCCAGGTTTGGCATCCAGGACATGGGTTTTCCCACGTCTGTACCTTCAAGGAGCCCTGGTGGCAAAGTGGTTAAAGCATTCAGCTGCTAACCATAAGATCAGCAGTTTGAATCCACCAGCCCTTCCACCAGAAGAAAAATAAGGCATTCAGCTTCCATAAGGACTGACAGCCTTGGAGACCCTCCGGGGCAGTTCCACTCTGTCCTCTAGGGGCGCTGTGAGTTGGAATCAACTCCTTGGCAGTGGGTGTGCTTGGGGCTTTGCTTCTGTGAAGATTGACAGCCTGAGAAATCCTGAGGCAGTTCCACTCTGTCCTCTAGGGGCGCTGTGGGTCAGAATAGACTCCACAGCAGTGGGTGTGGTTTGGGCTTTGCTTCCATAAGGACTGACAG